AGAAGTAGAAAATTAACTGTAAAGGTGTCCAAAGGTTTATTAGAAAATCTAAAGAAGATTATGGATATTATTTCATGGTTAGTCTTCTTATTAGGGCATGTTTCCAGCTTAGGAAGGATTTGTATATACTGTAGAATTGAAATGAAAAATGTGAAATTAAATTTACTACTAAAAGGTGTGCATCCAAATATGAACAGCTGTATTAAAAATAGTAGAGGAACAGAAAAAAACTAATTTTAAAAACCCTATGATTGAAATATTTTAATGAAGGTTCTGTCTGGTTTTACTTCTTAGCATTTGGACAATAACTTTGGCCCTGCAGTCTTGTATATTGCATCTTTTTTTCTTTTATTTACTGTTATACAAGTTGGAAAATAGACTATCCAGCATCTTTGTGTAGCAATCTCTGTGTCCACAGTCATTCAGGGATCTCTGTAAGGTCCAAGTTTCCAAGATGCTCTTAAAGTATTCCTCTGAACCAAGAAGTTAATTTATAAGTTCAGAAATGCACTGGCTGTTTTCCTGACTTCCTGCTGGGGAATCATAATCCTGCTCTGAATTTAGTATCTCACCAGAGAAATCAGGACATAAGCAGGGAAAAATTACCCTTGGTTTGCATCCTTATGCAGAGTTCAGACACAAAAATACTTGCTCACCTGGAAATTCTGAATTATTCTCTATTTCTGAGATCAAAATCTCAATTAAGAATAACTATTTTAAGCTCTAATTTTTATCCAAAAGCAAGCATAATTTTATAAATACCAACTGCTTTAATACCAATCTTACAAAACTTTAGAAATTATAATGTAATTTTAATTTTTATCCAAATAACTGTAATTAAAAGCAAATAAGAAATCTTTCAGCTTATTGAAAGGCACAGGCCATAGGAAGAAACTGTTCAGTATTCTACTATAAGTGCCTGAGAGACTCTGTACAACAGACTTATCAGAGGATCAAGATCTTAAGCTAGAAATGATGCTGTGTTCAGTGTAGCTATACAGCATCCCATTTCAAAAATTTCCATTCTCTTCACATAAGAATAGCATCACAGTGGGGAGAATTGTTAGTGACACTCACCATCAGTTTGCTAGTTGAGTGCTACTTGAACTTTTGAAATCTGTACAAAGAAACCCTTACTTTCAAAGCCCCAAACTTCAAACCCACCTTTTTCAGCCACTTATATTTGTGTTTAAAGCAAGAGGAAAGAATCATAACGGTTAACAGGAAACACTGTTCTAAAGAATTACACATACCTAAAACATTTATTTTTGTAATTTCAGTATTTTATGCTTATTTCATACCTATGTGCAGGTATCTTGCGATCGCCAGCAATCAGGATAACATCACAGAGCTGCTGCTGCTTCAAGTAGCTCTCCATTTTCCTGAAGGTTTGCTCTGCGTGGTGAACAGCCTGGTAGAATTCCTCGGAGCTACACGAATCCATGTCACAGTGGGGTGGCAAGGGGTGGCTGGCTCCTGACAGTCTGTGAACAACAAGAGAAACTCCATGTTGGTAAGATGTGGCCAAGTGTTGATTCCATCACAGCTTCTAGAATCTGAAACAAGTAAATCAATGCATCCTTTCCCTCTTCTCATCACTGTAAGTACAAGACAGAAAAATCTTACTGCATTGGGAGAGATATGGAAAAAGCAATCCTATCTTTCCACTGATTCTGAGCACCTGCTCTAGTTCACTTTCTCAAACTCACATTCATTTTACACCCCTTGGGAAAGAAAAATAAAATTCCAATTGACTTAATTTGTAATGAATCCTGATTATTTTCACAATGAAAAATAAGATACAAACATTTTATCCAAAAGACTTCTTAATCAAGTCTGAATTTAGCCTACAAAATAATGATGTCTATACTTAAAAGGAAAAAAAAAAAAAAGAAAAGAAAAATAAACAGAAGATCTTTTTTTCACATTATATAGCCATTTATTCCTAGTTTGAAGTTACTCAGTTCAGTGTTACACTGGAAGATCAAAGTATCAAAGTGTCAGGAAGCACTAGTCCTTGAAAAAAGTAGGAAACCATGCTAGAATTTCTAAATAGCTCTCAACACAGATGATACCCTCTTTTACAAATATGTAATGAGATGGATTCAAATAAAGGCATTAAGATTATATATATAGACTTGTAGTGCTGAAAATTAAGGATTTCACAGATAAAACTTTTTCTTCAACTAGATATATACAAAAGAGTTTAGATAATCAATAGAAGAGCAATAGACAACCTTAGTCCATCATATGAGACATATTATTATTTATATATTATTTATATATAATCCATAATGACATATATATTATTAATGTATTAATTCAAACCAACTTAATTTTATATATTCTACTGAAATATAAACATCAAGGAGTACATAAGAAATGTTTTTTATTTACAGTAATAATACAACAGTTTCCTCACTCAAGGTTTAAATTCAGTAGGTATTACACTAAAAAAATTATATTGAAAGATGAGTAAGAAAATGCAGTCTACATTGCTGGTGCTGGAAAAAAAAAATGAAAAATTCAATTTATGAACTGAAAATTGCACAAACATAATAATTCTTAAAAATCAGAGTGAAACACATTTATATATATATATATATATATATATATATAAATAATAATAACCAAAAAGACCCAAACTAAATTCTTGAGATATTCTAGCAATTTGCTTTTGAATTATCTTTTGTCCAAAAGTGTTCCACATAGTCTCCTATAGTCACTGTACAGGGCTCAGCAGGTTTAAGGAGCAATCTTTTAAAGTAGCTGGAATCCTGCATAATTGAAGGTGGCATGCAGATAATTTCACAGGGAACTAAAGCAGATACTTCTCTATTTCACTGCCCTAACACCTACTTTTGCTATGTACAGGTACTAACTTAACAGGATGAGTTATCATTTAAAATTAAGTAACTTCACTTTACTTAAACTTCATTTAAAATAAGTAAATCCACTTTTCCAACACTAAGTTGGACACGAAGAAATTACCAGTTGGTTTCAATCAATTGATATTGTTATTTTTATGCTGCAAAGGTTACAATATGCCTGTCTATAGGAAATCGAACTGGCAAAACGTTATTAAATGTGATTCCTCAACAGAAACAGTTATAAAACAGTGATTTAGAAAGAAACATTTGCTTAATTCTGCTACAGGTAATCTTATTATATTGTCACGTACTTTGTGCCAGATATTTCCTGGTGAATAAAACGAACACATTCATTCTGTGAGTGACACAATTTGCTTATGTGTTTCTATCTAATCAGGACCCCAATTATGTTGATGAGAAATCCAAGTTTATTTTCACATCTTTGATTGATCAACTGATGCTTTCCCATGAAGCTCTAATGATAGAGCTAAGCTCATTAGGATGGGCAGTGAGCAGATATTTCAGCTTTTCTTTTTCTTTTCCATTTCACGTTTGTAGCCGTACCCAGATTATTTCAGCTGTATTGCTAGGGATTTAGAATGTCAAGTAATTTACAAGAAATAAATTAATGCCTAATAAATGAGGTTGATAGGTTTAAACAGACACGTTCCTTCCTCTCCTCTGGGGAATTCAGAAGTGACAACAACAGCAGTTCCGAGAAAGGAAAGTAACAGGAATGAGCAGATCTAAATGGGTTCATAGTGTTTGTTAGTTCAGAAGGTAGGTCTATGTCAGCTTAAATTTGAACAGATAGGATACTAGTTCTAAATCTTTTGGCTATTCAAAATGCAGTCTTTCCCAGGTCAGAAAAAGAGAAGTGTCCTGATTGAATTTATGCTGGTCCTGTGAAGTAAGACTGCACTGTAATAAGCTTAGCCTATTTTGTTCTTGAATTGCTAGGCAGTGCTTGCCACAAATTTTGCTCTCTTTCCTGCTAGCCATTTATAAGCAACTCTTTCTACCCACTAAGTCAGTGTATCTGTCACTTAGCAAGTCAGTAAATGACTGCTCGAAAGCAAGCCACCAAAGACCAAAGCATATTTTAAATATTTATCATTAAAAATAGCAAGCAACAAGCTTGGTAAAAGACAATAAGTTAATCTTTTATTTATCTTCTAAAAAAGCCGAGATAAAAACCCTGCTACTTATCTTATTCAGGAGCTATCTCTGTTTCTTTTATGCTCTGTCTGCATAATCAATGCTTTAATATTAGATAGCAACTTGTTAAAGGAAGAATTAGGTAAAGCAAATACCATTTATTACCAATTACCAGTTTATGAAAGGCATATATAGGTACTCAGGGACAATCAGCAATATGAAAGTCACATTTTCTCTTTGCATATATTGCTCTTGTTTAGGTGCAAGCAAATCGAACCACAAATGGAGTGAGAGGTTTTTTGACTGCATTCAGCAGCAACTCCAAGACAAATTTGACTGAAAATTCCCTAAGTCTTTCAAAAATCTTTTCAGCATTTGTGTACTTCAAAGTCTTGTAACCAGTGAACTGGACAGACTCCAGGTGGACTTTTTCAATAATCTTCCTCAGCTGGCAAGTGCAAAGGCTGAACTCAGTGTGGAAATTTCAAACATTTGGGAGTTGTCCAGCCTAAAACACTTTAAATTACTTAGGTTTGATTTCCTTGTTTCTGAGCTATTAACTTTCTCAAGACTACAGCAATGCTATGAAGGGTGACTGCACCATGAGAATACTAAAAGGCTCACAAAAATTATCAACATTGCAAATAATCAATAATCTTGAAAGCTTTTTTTATGAAATGGCAAAACAGAATGCATATTGCATAAAAATAAAAAAAAAAAAAGGAAAAAAACCTTAGCAAAACCTTAGCAAATTTGTACAGACTATTTTTCAATGCTAAGAACAGCATCCTACTCTTAAAAGAGAAATTATTACAGAGCCTGAAGGTGTAGAGAAAAAACCCAATCTTTGAGGCATCATAGATCTGAAAATAGTGCAAACAGAAATAAAAACCTAGAGAATCTAAAACATCTGACTCCAAAATGGTCCTCTTTTACTAGAAAAAAGACACCGATTTGAAGAATAGAGAAATGAAAACCTTTAGCTTTCAGTAACATTATCAAAGAGTTAAAGAGAAAATGGCAGGGGAAAGGGACTTCACACACAGATTCAGCTACCTATATCTTTCTTGTTAAGTAATTAGTAAAAACAGTAGTTAAACCATATTCTAAACAAAAGAATAAAAAAGTACTTTGAAATAGAGAATTTGCATCACTTGAAATTATACCACATTACTCTGTGTAAACAGAGGCTTAGATTTAGAAATGTTTCCATTCTGGAAATTATATTTATAGAGGTGCAGAAAACAACAGATTCATATCACTGTGTATAGCAGAAAACTTTGCAAAGTACTTAGGTATTTTAAATACTCAATTTGAATACATTTTTTCTTCATTCCACTCAAGTCTGTGACCACAAATGAAGAACTCTTTAACCAGAAAATGTCATATAATTTCATCATTGCTGGTATATTAAATCCTGTTTTATTTAATTGGTTTTTCAGTGTTTACTTATGCAGGACTGATCACGCAAAGTTATCCAAAACTTGTTCAATTTAATTTAGTGTATACTATTGAGTAAATACCCAAAATACATAGTCAAGAAACAAAATATATCCAGTTCTTCAGTGAAAGAAACGTTGCTTTGCTATTTATAACTTGCAAAGAAAAAGTATTCCATATGTAAGAGTGAAAAAAAATCTTCACACAATCCATTCCCTAAAAATTACTTATTGAATGCTTAGAAATCAATAGCCTGTGGAATTGCACCATCTAAGATGGACTGTCAGAAGTCATGGCTCTCATTAGTGATCACTTGCAAAAAGGCAAGAGGGAGTTTTGTAAAGACGTAAAACCATTTTCTTATTGCAACAGCAAGGCTGAAGTTCTGTATGTGAACAAAAGCTATGCTTCTCATTCTGCTACCAGCAATCATATCTGCAGCTACAGGCTCTGCCCAGAGTTTCAGCAGGTAGAAGTGCCACATAAAAAAAAAAAAAAAACCAAAAAAACAACAGAATATCAAATAGGACTTTTAAATTTTACCAGATTCACTTAGAGATGTATTGCTGCTGTCAAAAAATTTGTTAGCCACTGTTTTGCTCAAGTTATGCAAAATTCCCCAAAGCTTGCTTTTGGTAAAGAGTAAGTTTGTGGACCTGACTTCATTTAGTTTCACATATGATAATTGATTCAATTTAGTCTTTTGAGATCAGTTTTGTATTTTAGAGGGGGGTTTTGTTTGCTCTGTGTGTGTTTTTGCTTTGTCTTAATTCAGAATTTCAGATCTCATTTTAACAGCTTTTGAGACACCTAATCTATGACTCAAGAGATCACTCAAAAATCACCATCACAGGCAAAAACCAGTCAACATGGCGAAATTAATTTAATATACTTAACCATCAGAAGAGGAGGATAATGAGAAATAAAACACATATCTTAAAACATCTTCCCCAGCAATTCCCTTTTTCTGGGCTCGACTTTACTCGCCATTTCTCTACCTCCCCTCCCTCAGAAGCACAGGGAGTTGGGGAATGGGGGTTGTAGTAAGTTCATCCCACTTGGCCGCTCCTTCCTCCTCAGGGGCAGGACTGCTTACACTCTTGCCCTGCTCCAGTGTGGGTCCCTTCCACAGGGTGCATTCCTTCGAGGACTTTCAGCATGCTGCCTCCGAGGTCACAAGTCCTACCAGGAAATCTGCTCCTGTGTGGGTTCCACACCTCCAGTCAGATTTCTGCTCCAGCACAGGCTTCCCACAGTGTCACAGCCTCCTTCAGGCACCCACCTGCTCCAGGCTGGGGTCCTCCATGGGCAGAGGTGGATCTCTGCTGGACCAAGAACATCCCTGGGCTGCAGGGGCACAGCTGCCTCTCCCTGGTCTGCACCACGGGCTGCCAGGGAATCTCAGGTCCAACACCTGGAGCACCTCCTCCCATACCTGCACTGACCTCGGCATCTGCAAGGCTGTTTTTCTCACATTTTTATTTTTCCCTGAAAATCCAAAATCTCTAAATCTCCAAAAAATGATAAATACAAATAAAAATTGAAGTAAAAGAAAAAAGTAAAAGTAAAAATTGATAGCTGATTTGCCTGATAGTATCTACAACACTGAATATTTTGTTCTGTTTTCTTGTGTTCTGCACAATATCCTCCAATCAAAGGAGTATTTTTTAAAATACTTTTTCAAATCTATTCATTGCTTTGTACAGTGTCTTTGAAATGTAACTAAGATCTCATAGAGTTTCTCTCATCGTGTAAAAATACAATTTACTGTAGTGTAGCACAGCAGAAAATTCACACCTAAAGTCATTCTCATCCTTTTTGAAACTCATTTCAACACAAAGATGATCATTTTATAAACCCTATTTCAAGTTCCAAGCACTTCCTAAAATCCAGAGAAAACTGTTGAAGGAAAGCTGATTTTTTTTAAGGTTCATCACACTGGTCATGCCAGGCACCTGACAGCTACAGTAATAATGGTACCACTATAAACTTCCATCATAAGTTAGCAGCCATCACACTTCCTTGACAAACTACACTTTCTGCCCCCTACCCCATATCTTCGACCTATTCTGCCTCTAAATAGTCTTGCTGTGCAACAGAAAAAGATGCTGGTTGGACTGCTCTCTCCCATACAGAGCTAATGTTGCATTCACTGCTTTTTCAGCTTTGCATGCCCAAACAGAGGGAGCAGTTTGTTCCAGCTGTTCCTGGAAAACCGATGATTAACTCGAGCAGAGTTCTCCTAGCTACACATAGTCATATTTTAATGACTTGGACACATACTGATACATTTTACATGTTCACATTGCTGACAGAACTTTTTATTATATTGGATCTTGCTGGAAGAATTTTTTTTTTTTTTTTACCATGGAGAATACAGGAAACAAAGAGCCTGCAAGTATAAAAGCCCTGCAAACAGATACTAAGTGCATATAAATCCACACTATTGAAAGTTACAGGTCTGTACTACTAATGGGGACATTTACTTTCCAATATATGTATTCTGAGAGGGAAAATGAAAGAGAGCACAGGTAGAAATGATGCCATTACTGAGAAAATATCCATTTTAAAGAAAGCTTACAGTTGAAAAAGTTTTTAGCAACTGTTTTGCTCATGCTATACAAAATTTCCCAAAGAATGCCTTTAGTAAAATACAAGTTTAGTAAAAAGAAAGTTGTTTCCTGAAAGAAGGCAACCTGTTCTTCCTGAAAACACAATACAGAAAAGACATCACAGGAAACCTCAATTTTTAAATCTGTACACTGTTGGAGAACAACCAAGAAGCACAACCAATTTTTCTTAGGTTACTGACAGTAATATTTCTCTATTTCTAGCTCAAGACTCAAGTAAGCCTGCTTCATTAGAGCACAACCCAGCTGCTCTGCTTTCCTTCCCTCTTTCCTTTTACTATCATAGCAGTAGACAAAACTCCTGCTGAAAGGAAACAACTTAGCTTTAGATCAGGAATAAGCTTCTTTTAGAAGTAAGTAAGGTTCCTTCTTTAGATAGTCATTCTTCTGCATTCTTCCCCAATCCCATCAAAAACATTGCCCTCATTCACCAGGTTCAGTTAATGAAGATTTTTTTACTCTGAATTGAAATAATAAATTAAACAAGACTGTTACACTGCAAAAATGAAATCCCTTATATTTGTGAGACCACTTGCTTCTCACAAAAAAAACACCAAAAAAAGAAAACAAAACCAAAAACAAACCACCAAACCAAACCAAACAAAAAAAAAAACAAAACCAGAACAAACAAACAAACAAACAGACAAAAAACAACAAAAAAAAGGTAAAACAAAACCCAAAAGCTGGTTAATTGTCTTCCAAGCCTCTTATGCTCCTATGGCAAATAAATACATAACACAGGAAAGTGTCCTGCATTCATCACAGGCATTAAGTAGGCAAGATGCATTCACTGTGCATTCATATTTTAATCACCCATTTGATAATACAATGGGGATACACCAGCTCCATTATGAAGACAGACTGACATCATAAAACTTTTTTAATACTCAGATTAAATATTTTTCAGCATTTTATGATTTCCTATTTCTACCAACTGAAAGTTGAACAAAAAGGATTATTAGGACTCAGAAATTCAAAACTTAATTTAACTTAACCTCAACTTGCCTACAGTAGTGGAAGTCCTCCCAGTGGGAGTTATCGTCTGGGAAGTCTGAGATGAAGGGTACAGACTGTTGTACAGGAGGCTAATATTAGTGGCCAGAGCAGTTAAATGCAAGAGGTTGGAGATGTACTTCTCTTCTTCTTGCAGATGTGAAGAGCTCACAATGACTATTCTTTCCTCCGCCTGACAAGCAGAGGAAAAAAAACCCAAGCAGTAGATGCCATAGTGAAAATGAGAGAAATTCCTTTTCCTTTCCTAATAGCTCAAGAAATTCCCGGAAGTGTATTGCATACCACTGTGCACTATCAGCCGAGCAGTGCTAGCACAAACACAGGCTTCACATTCTCACCAAGCACAGACTTGCAGTTTCCTTGACGGCCAGTTGTTAATACATCTTATTCCAGACAACAAACTGCACTGAGCCTTTGTGGTTTACTTAAGTGGTCAAACATAACAAAGTAATTCTCCTATATAATTTAAATTTCAGCATTCAGCATTTATGCATATATTTCCAAAGAGAATGAGATTTTTACAAACGTATACATTAAAGACTGTACATTCAGAAACGGATGAAGCCAACACTACACACAGGAGAGTTTTCTAATATACTATGGAAGAAAATTCCCATATCTTTCAGGCAGCTCTGGCTATAATTCCATTAGCAGCTGCTATCAGTAGTATGTAATTCTCCAAGAAGTTCCACTTTAAAGCTTCATAAAATCAGTGCCAGTGCCACTGACACAGAAACTCTCTTCTATTCCTTGCTACTCAGAATAATACAACTTCAGATTATAAAAGAGCAGTGCTGGATTTACTAGCAAGACACCTAAAATAGAGCTGCTTTTGCTTCCTTCTGTAACAGTGCCCTATTTTCTGAATGCATTATGCCTAAGAGAGATGCTTGTGCCGCGTGTTAACTATCTTGTCATGATGAATGGCCATATCTATATGGATAAACTAAGTAAATTAGCTGACATAGTTACTCATTCAGTGTGTGCACAAATACATACAAAGATGCAGATCTCTTTTTTATTAAGAGACCTTTTCTTCCAGCATTTAATTTGTGACATAAGAACTTGTATATAAACAGAAGTCATATATG